AACTGAACATTTTTCTCAGATCATCCTTGTTTTGGTCCAGTATTCTTCCATTTCTCTTTGCCTCAGTTATTTTCATCAAAAAAAAAATAGAATAGTTACTGGGTTAAATATTCTATTGCTTACTCCTAGCCTTTACCTTTAATTAGCATTCCATGTCACTGTATAGTGCTTATAGGATGTAATTTGGTGAATGTTTTGTTAAAAATTATTATAAAGGTGGTGTACAGAGTGACTATAGTTATATGAATCAGATAAACATTTCTTTTTGGATAAAAACACCCTTCCCTGACTCTCTCTTGGTTTTTCCCTCCCATCTCTGACCACAAGTTTGTATAGTTCATTTTCAATATAGTGTCTAGTACCATTGCTGCACTTGTCCACCCTTTGTCCTTCTGTTTCTGTACCTTCCCCTATCCTCTCAAAGACAAACGAACAAAGAAGAAGACAAGAAAATGAAATCAGCAATGAAGAAAAAAAAAACCTCTTGTTTTCACTTCCTAGAGTTCGATAAATTTTATTTGATATTTAAATATTTATTTAAATAGTATTTCAATAGGTATTATTTTGTATGGTCAGATACACATAGACATTGCACCTTTGTGTGCACCTTTGTGTTCTTCTCCTAAGAGTTTCCTGCTTTGGTCTCACTGTGTGTGAATGCATAAAAGGTCAATGTTCACCTTTAAACTACTAATGAAGTTGGTAGGGTACTCATTCTGTGCTATACAGATTTTCCATCCATAACAATAAAAATTTTAAATGAAATTTAGTATTAACTACTTTAAGTCAGTTAATAGCAGTGGTTTGTGAAGAAGAAATTGTGAGACAGTAAATTGAGATATGGGGAGGAAATTTTTATTTTAGCCCAAATTTGTCAACATTCTCTTGTCTCAGATTCTCAGTATAGTTTGTGACCTAGCCATCAAAGTGGGCAGAGAAAATAGGGATGAAAGGCATTCCTAATGGCAGATCAGTTATTTGCTCATCAGATGCATTGAATTTCAAACAAGATTCTCTTCTGTTGTTGTTGTTTGTTTGTTTGTTTGTTTTGTCAGTCAGGGGCTTGAACTCTGGGCTTGGGCGCTGTCCCTGTGCTCTTCAGCTCAAGGTGAGCACTCTGCTACTTGAGCCACAGCGCCACTGCCAGTTTTCTAGTGGTTTATTAGAGATAAGAGTCTCATGGACTTTCCTGTCTGAGCTGGCTTTGAACTGCGATCCTCAGATCTCAGCCTCCTGAGTAGCTAGGATTACAGGCCTGAGCCACGGGCGCCGGGAAGATTCTCTTCTTTAATCTAGCAAGATGCAGCCAGAAAATTCACGATTATATCAAGTGTTCATTAACATTCATAATCAACAAACTTCCTAAGGATATGTATATATTGTACTTGAAGTATTGGCTAATCTAACATGGTAAACATTAGTAAGAGATTTGAGAAAAATTTCATTTATCTCAAATTTGTTTATTTAAATATTGAAACTTTATATTAGAATGTTTGTGCTCATTTTAGAATGTACATAATATATTGATACAGAAGCACACGTATGTACCTTATGTAATAATCAGAGTAGGGATGGGGCTGGGGATTGGAGAAGAACAATGTGAGGAGTGACATTGACTGAGAAGTATTATACTCATGACCTGATTTATGGGATTATAAACCCTTTGAATAATTACTTAATAATATATATTTAAAATATACATGATATAAATAAAATAAAATGTACAGTCCTTAACTTGAATTTTACAATATTCATTAATGTGCAGTTCAGTGAATAATATTAAGCATCTAAAATATGCATTATATATTGGCATAGAAACGTGTATATGAAATATATATTAATACATCTATGTTATGTATGTGCATATACTACATTCCAAATTTGTTTTAGTGAATCAGTGTGCAATCAAAAGAGTTTGCAGTATACATGCTTTTCAAATAACTTGGAAGATATGAACTGACCTTTTTACTTGTTTTATCATTTTACTTAAAAATTTTAAATGTTTTATACACTATATTGTTATATTGCCATTGGTGTTAGATCATCTTTTTGTGCCTTTTCTACCTGAAATGGAAAAATGTGAAGTGGAATGGAATGAATCAAATTATATAATTAGTCATTGTAGGTAAAGTAGCTGTTTAGTAACTTCAATCTCATGAATTTAATAATGAAGGGATTAATTCAGTTTCTGAGGAAGCTGAACCTAAATCAGGAAGAAATATGAATTATAAAATATTCTTTAAAAATACTTCCTTATTTTTGAGGATAAGAGAAAGTCAAGTTAATATGTTTTTGCAAATTTTTGAAACATTTTCACTTAAAAGATAGCTGAGAATTATTACTCTTTATTGTTAGAGTTAAAAATAAAATCAAAGTTGTGCTTGAATGGTTCTTTTCCTTTAAATAGGGTAGTCATTTGCTGCATTTATACCATTTTGTTTTCACATAGGCTTGCCCCAGCTCACTTTGAAACTCAGTCCTCAGATCTCAGACTCCTGTGTAGCTAGTATTACAGCTGTGAGCCACCAGCACCCCCTGGAACTATTCTTTTTAGCTAATTATGACCAGAAGAAAAGACCACATTTTCTGATGGAATAAATAAATAAAATGACTGCTTTTTATAAAAAATTGGCTTTATGTAGTTTTTAAAAAAACATTTTTATCAAGTTGATGTTACAAAGTTGAAAATTCTAGTTACCACCACTATAGCAATCACCTCTTTTTATAAAATAAATAATTTGTAGACAAGCAAAGTATTCTTTGTATTAAATTTTCTTTTTCCCTCCTTCCCCCTCCCCTCCTTTTCTCTTTCTCTTTTTCTCTCCTTCTTTCCTTCCTTCCTTCCTTCCTTCCTTCCTTCCTTCCTTCCTTCTTTCCTTCCTTCCTCCCTCCCTCCCTTCCTCCCTCCCTCCTTCCCTTCCTCCCTCCTCCTCCTTCCTTCCTTCCCTTCCCTTTCCTTCCCTTCCCTTCCATTCCCTTCCCTTCCCTTCTTTCCCCTTCCTTTCCCCTTCCTTCCCTTCCATCCCTTCCTACCTTTTCTTTCCTTTCTTTTTGTGCCAGTCTTGGGGCTTGAACTCAGGGCCTAAGTGCTGTCCCTGAGGTTTTTGTTTTTTGTTTTTTTTGTGTGTGGGGTCCGGTCATGGGGCTTGAACTCTGGGCCTGGGCACTGTCCCTCTGCTCTTCAGCTCAAGGCTAGCTCTCTACCACTTGAGCCACAGCACCACTTCTGGCTTTTTTCTTTTTGCTTATGTGGTGCTGAGGAATCGAACCCAGGGCTTCATGAATGCAAGGCAAGTGCTACCACTGAAACACCTTTCCAGTCCCTGTCCCTGAGTTTTTTTGCTCAAGACTAGTGCTCTACCACTTGAGCCATCCTCCACTTCTAGGTTTTTCATAGTTAATTTGAGATGTGTCTCATGGACTTTGCTGCCTGGGCTGGCTTTGAACCTTGATCCTCTAATCTCAACTCCCCTAGTAGCTCTAATGCCCTGCTTTATTCAGAATTTTACTTTAGGTAGTTAACAAATACAAAACTATGGTAAAGTAAGTAAAAATAAAATTAAATTGTGAAGAAGAAAAAAGGAGAGACACAGATGAGTTTACATTCAGATGTTCATCTCCAAGATTTTTTTCCCTGTCATATACAGAAAATTCAGTCATGAATTTCTTAGCATTCACAGCACTAAAGGAGTCAGTTTTCCCCAAAATGGGTGCCTTTCAAACCACATCCAATATGATTATCGTAGTCTTAACAAATTTAGACATGATGTTGTATTGCTTAATGGAAATCATTATAGAATATTTTAAAAAGTCTTGCAATTTCTATGGTTAATAACAATATTGATAACAGTTACATGGCTTCAGTGTTTTTCATGAATACTTAACCACCTCATCCTTTTTATTTCACCTGATGACTATCAACATTTCCCACAACTATCTACGTTTTCCACAGGGAATCAGTTAGATACTGATGTTAAACTGAAACTGTCTGCTTAGGAAAAGTCCAGCAGGGTAAGGTTTGACAAGTTTCTTCTTTAGATTGCTTAGAAGGAAGAGTGTACATATATAGGCATATATACACACATACATATTTGCACACATATATACATATATGTATGAAAGCTGAAGCATCTTGTCCTCAAGAGTTAGCCACAATTTACATAATGGATTCTAAGTGATTGTTTTTATATGGTTTTTCTCAGTATGGCCTGATGGCATAATCCAAGTCACTATAAAGTTAAGTTTTAAATTGATTATAAATTGTCTTGGGTTTTTAATTTTCCATACTACAATCTGGAACTGTATTCAAATTTTTGTTGGTATTGAAAATATTTACTGCCTGTTTATATGTTCTCTTGTTCTAAAAAGAAATTAAAGGACAAAAATTAGAGATGAGCAAAAATACATTGCAGAGTGTTTAATGGGCTATTGTGTGGTTGGTTGAGGTGGTGCCTCTATTGGCATTATAGACAAGCTGTGAAGAAAGCAGATGTACATCTGAAGGTAATGTGAAGCATCTGGCTCCCAAAGCATGATCATGGCAGAGGGACCGTGAAAATACTCTTCTTGAGCAAAGGTGCAGGAGGATCCTGGGTCTAAATGACAACCAACACAAGGAAGCGCTGCAGAAAACAGCTCTTACAGCACACAAAGCAAGGTTCATACTGTGGATAAAGAACACATACGAACAGATCAATTGTTTTTTCCAGCTCTGCCTGCTCAGACAAAGCAATCCTTTTTAGTAAGGTCATTGTATTTATACAACAGACTTTTCAAAACAACTTCTCTAGTTTTTCAACTTCATTTAGTATTTTAAAGTATTTTGATGGTGGAACTTTGTTTTATATATAATATAAAGGAAGGATTTGTTCAATGTGACCTAATATTGTGTTTGGCTTTCAGTGATATTGAATATATAGTCAGCCTTCACTTTATTTATTAGCAGACAGAATCTCTTTATTTAAAATGTAACCTAAATAATAAAGGTTTTTCCTTTTCAGGCAAGAGTGCAGCACTGTGTCTGCTCTGTGGCCAGTGACCACTCAGTAGGACTTCTGAGTTTGCGAGAGAAAAAATGCATCATGCTGGCCTCCCGCCACCTTTTCCCTATTCAAGTAATCAAGTGGAGGCCCTCTGATGATTACCTCGTAGTGGGATGTTCAGATGGCTCTGTGTATGTCTGGCAAATGGACACTGGTAAGTGTGAAGAAGAATAGAAAACTAAATGAGTATACTTAGCTTGCTAAGAATTAAGTCTTTCCTGTAGGAAAAAAAGAGTGCTGGAATATAAGAAGCTTGCTACTTGGATTTTGAATTGTTTTATAAATAGTCTCTCAATATTCAATATTTATGTCATTATCAACAGAGAAATATGTAAATGTCCCCTTATTTGTTGTACTATATCAAATAATTTGCAGAGCAATTAATTAATCCTTGAAGGATACTATAGAAGATAATAATATGCAGATCAGGATGTATATAGCGATGACAAAATATAAGTAATATCTGTAGGATTTGTGAGAAAAATTGTGTAAAAGTTGATGTTGGTGTCAGCAAGATGTATTAGATTCATAACCTGTGGAAAAAGATGAAATTCTTCTTTAGATTAACAGCAGAAAAGCAGTGCTGGCCAGGTAACTGTAGGAGGTCATTGAAATATAGATTTCAAGCTCTAGAGAGAATGTGTAAAATTTCAGTTTTCACGAAATTGAAATAGAGAACAAGTAATGGTTAGATTAAAAAAGCACAGGCAGTGGTAAATATTTATACACAGATTACCATGGTTTTCCTGGAAATGTTTACACATATAGCTAAATGGCTTTGTGTAGGATTTTTTTTTTTTTTTTGGGTCC